CCCCCCCGCCTGTTCCCGCTCAGCCGCGGTACTAACCACGCGTACAAACAAAACAACTTTCTTCCTTCCCATTCATTCGCCACATTCGTCCCTACAGCACCATCAACATCTCATTGCGTCAGCCATTACCACGTTACGTGCCCGTGGAGCCCATTCGGTTTGGGTGCACACGCCCAGGGGGAACACATTGGCCATCAAATTCACTAACATTTTTAGTCCTTATTGAGACCAATGTGATCATCAAAAAGATAGTACTACACCAACAACACGTCAGGTGCTACACTGTTAAAATCCTGCGAAGTATTTTGCTCCTTTGTAACTAAGCATTTACTTCGCAATTACAAAGTGATGCTTTGCAATTACGAAGTGACACTTTGCAATTGCAAAGCGATGCTCTGTAGCGTTTTCATATTGCTTCGCAATTGCAAAGCATTACTTTGTAATTGCAAAGTAAATGCTTCGTAGTTACAAAGGAGCAAAATACTTCGCAGCTCTGCAAAGCAAATGCTTTGTAGAAATTTAACAGTGTAAGTTTTGGAGCTATCCCTTCTGTATTCAGGCAAATATTTTAAATTTGTTCAGAATCAATGGAGGGTTCAAGACGGGCAAATTTAATGCATAGGACACCCGTCAGAGTCACCATGGCGCATTCAAAAGCATGTCGCTAGAAATAGAAAAACGAATCAAATACCGGGGTGACGGAACAATGGAAGCGAAAATTCGTCGTGCAGACCGACTGTTGCAGAATAACGAAAGGCGTGGCGTGGCAAAACGCACAGCCAGTTTTCTGCCGTTCGAGAAAACGGGGCGCGCAGCCATTGTGCCCGGGGCTGAGCGGGGCGAGGCATGGGGCTCCAAACTGCTGGGAACAGAGCGATGCAGACCTCATACACACTAGGCGGACATGGTGCGGCTAACCCGGACTCACCTCACGCCAGCAGCGGCTAGCTGAGCGTTGCTCCAGCGACGACCCCGCAATTCGCAGAATGTTGGTCATTTATTTACTTCCCCATTCACACGGGTAACGGACGTGTACGTAACTTTTTTTAGGGGGGGGGGGGTATACAAATATTATGGGGTCCCAAAAGGATCCGGAACATTGAAATCCCTAGGACCCCATAATTTTTATGACCCGATGTACAAATATCATGGGGTCTCTACGGACTCCAGTGATGTTCCTCGACATTTTATGAGGCCCCATAATATTTGCACCCCGGCCCCCAAAAAAGTCACGTGGTATTTGAACGAACCCTAATTCTCACCCGCAGACACCAGATACACACTGCGCCGACTGCACTTTCTCCCCTGCTGCCCACGGGCGGCCGCGTGACGAGATAGTACCCGTCCCCGCCGCCCCGCCACCCTTTTGGCGGAGGGTTTAATTTTCACTCCCTATTGAGCCGTTGGCCTGCCGTTGGCCTGCCGCCGGGAGAGGGGACACGTGCGCACACGTGGCCCCGGGGTGGGAGGGGGCAGGGAGGAGGGGAGTGCCACGTTCAAAAAAGGAGTCGAAATCGACGGCGCAAGGGTGTGTTCTGTACGCCTGAATAGCTACCGGAAGAGAAGGTTTGGGAATTACCCGCGCTTTGCTGGGTTTTGCAGAGTACAGCCCCCCCCCCCTTTGCCACTCCATTTTCCTTAGGGCGGGGCGCGGCGGTGGAGGGACAGCAAAAGCGAATCCAATCGGCAAATGGGCAGGGAAAAGGCCACGCGGGGCGAGTAGAGCGACAGGACCGAGGACACTGCGGTGAACGGCGCCGGCAAAGCATGGCCAGAACTGCAG